CCTAAATTCTCAGCTGGGAAGACAGACTCCATATTCAGAAAGGTACTCCCCATTCTAGGTTAGTGGCCTGGAATCCGAAGGCCTTTCAAAGCAGGCTCTTCTTGCTCAGGAGGAACTTAACACTAATCTGGGGTGAATGCGTCAGGAATCTCCTTGAGGCAGCGGATGCTATCTACCTCCAAGTCCTTTCACATTGTCTCATGGAAGACAAAGCGAGCGAGCCACAGAATATGTCATATGAGGAAAGCTGCATTTTCTATAAAAAATTTTTGGCACACGAGCTGTCCCATTCCGACTCTTTCTCCAGACACCTGAAATGGAGTTATGTATTTTGCTTCTGCAGACACTGAAGTACATATATAAACTAAGAAGCACAATTTATCAAATAGGCTAGGAAGATGGAGAAGAAAGGAAAGGCACACTCAGAAAAAGTAGCATATGCTGTAGAGACCTTACCACTCCAACAGAATTTCTGGTAACATCCAACATCACAACTTCCTAAAGACAAAAATGGGAGCATCTGGAGAAAACTGTGCATCTTAACTCAGAAGTGACAAGAGTATGGCCCAAGAAGCCATGGCCTGGTCTCACTCGAATTCCAAAGGTCAGTTCTGGTGGGGAGGTGTCAGCTTGCTTCAAAAAGCGATTCAGCTGTCACCCCAAATCCTCAGAACAGCTTCATCCAGAGGCACAACTATTGCAATGGACATTCTTGTACCTCCCTGCACCCCACTTAGGAGTTTGTGTGGAAGGGTCTCATGGTAGGAGGATTTACACACAGGCTCCATATTTCAGTATTAGAAATCGAGACATTTTCTAAAGCCCAGGGCTCCTTGTAATGCCAGTAGGCTTTGGGAAATTCCAGCAAGTGACTAACATGAGAAGAGTCTGCTATAAATGTTTCTCAGCCACTGAGGATTTGACTTCTGGATTAATAATTCAATTCTTTTTAAGAAAGAAGGGGGACACAACAGAAAAGGTTATCATAACTATTATCAAATGCATTTTCTAAAATTATTCTATTACATTTTTAAAGGGTATAGTTATAAATGTTTTTATGAGCAATTTACCGGAAAATTAAAGTCCCTTAGTTTAAAAAAATAATTATTCCATCCCTCCGGCAAAGGATTTTTATCCCAGCCAAGAGCTCTTTCAAACTAGGAGGCATCATTTGTTCACTGAGGAGAGCTGGGTCCACGGAAGAAAAGTTGCTCTGAGAATCAATCTCTAGAAAGGGTGCGAAATCGCCAGACAAGCGCACCTACCAGAAAGTGAAATCAGCCAAGACTGAAGGGGGGAGGTGGAGGGGAAACGCTTTTCAGAGTCGAAGGCATGTGTGGCTCTAGAGGTCCTCAGGGCTACAAATAAACTACAGGCCTTGTTAACTGATTTTAAGTCAATTTAAACTGAGCTTCCAGGGGGTTCGATCTCAACCCAACTGAGCTTTTCAGTGTTAATCCCATCTTTTGGTTTCGATTTTTCCCTTAGCTTGGCCCGCTCTAAAAGCATTCAACCTTCAGCGCTGGTGTTCCAAACCAAGTGTGTGGCACACGGCCCTGTGAGGGTAACTTAGTGAAGTAAAATATGTAAGCTTCTGGCATGCATATAACAATGAAATTCTGGAAAAGGGTTTTGAACAACAGTTATGTCACAACGCTCATAGCTCCCTGAAGTCCCTGAAAGCTTTGTTAAATTAAAGATTCGCTGCGGTTTTTTTTTTCTTTTCTGCTTCATTCTTACTTCCCATGTTGCCTTTTTCCTTTCTGTTTTCCCTTTCATTCTGCTGTAAAGATGGGACTGAATGACACCAGCCATCATTAATAACACCTAGAAAACGAAACAGTTCTCATGAACACTGCTAACATTCCCTGCCCAGTTTGCAGGAGAAGGAGCGGTCGCCTTTCAGATTAGAAAGTCACAGATCAGATTTTGGAAACTCCTGCACTAACACACAGCCCATTCACACGTGGCTTCCCAAGGAGTTTGGAATTCAGTAACAGCTTTAAGTCTACCTAGGTAATGTCTCATGAGGTCACCTCAATGTCATGAGAATCCAGACCACAATCTCTGTGGCCTGTAAATGTTGGCTGGCTGGAAGCTAACCCTGCAACCCCTCTGGAAAGCATCTCCCAAATCAGAAAGCTTCTCACTTCACCCAATGCCAAGAAACTCCACTCAACCCTCCTTGAGGTTGAAAATACTAATTATAAGGTGATGATGTTTGGTTTTCCTTTTGAGTTGTGAGCCTTTATGTTTTAAGTATTAAAAGGCCTAATCACCTAGTGTGTAGGTTAATTTCTTTCCGATATTGTAATTTATGCAACATTAATACTGGATGCCAGCTCCAATTTTCTTGCTGCTTACACTCTGTGAGCCGACTTGCATATTCTGCCAACTCCATTACATCATCTGAAAACCCAAACATTTCCCATTTTCAAATCACTCTCATCTACCAGGCCTACTTACACATTCTCTCTTTTTCTCCCTAGCTCACACACACACAGATTGGTGCCCCTGAGGAGTAGACACTACATCTGAGGTTAAAGTCTGCAAATGCACATAATTTCTGGAAGCTATTACTACTGCTGTGTTAGCTAAAGGATGCCTCCATCTCTGACCTTCCTTTTTCCATTCAGACTGTTATATAACCTAGTGCCTGCGTGCAGGATGTGAGTTGAGTGTTTGGGCCTTACCTCCTCTCCCTCCCCCCATTAAATCTCCTGAGGGATGGACAAGGGGTTGGTTCAAAGAAGAGTGAGTGGAGGGGTGACCCTCTAGGGGACAAAGGGATATGGGTCAGCAGGTCAGCTACGCAGGATGCATCCCACCCCTCCTTTGTCCCTCTCCCCTTTTTGCTGAGCCTGTGGGGGAGGGGGTACTGAATGCCCCAGCGTTATATAATTTGCAAAAACAGCAAGTTACAGATTTGCTAGTCGGTTCCACAGCCTGCCACCCCAGATCTCTTGCAAGAACACCTTCTGGCAAGAATGACACCTGAAGATGCTAATGATACAGGGGGTGAGGGTAAGACAGAGGGGAATGGCGGCTCAAACCAGAAATAAGTGCGGCTTCCTATATCCCCCCCAGCCAAAAAAAAGAAAGAAAGCCTCAGAAACACATGAAGGGGATTTTCTCCAGTATTTCTGATTAACCCTGTTACATAACCCACTCGCATTCCAAATCCACCGTCTCAGGGTCTAAATATACTCTTTGCAGCCAAAAGCTGTCCACACACAAACTCACCGAGCTAGCGGCAGGTCCAGGCCCCCAGCCCTGATCCCCCTCCCTTTACTCCTGGCCCTGGCAGCCCCCCACCCCTTCCGCTCAAACCGCGGTTTCCTGTGTTCACTCTTCGGAAATCGCCCTTAATTAAATGTTTTTCGCGTGTGTCATCCTGATGGCTTTTACTGTACTCGAATTCCGTGAATGGGAAAGCGCCCGGACAGGGGGTGTGGCTAAGGTGGGGGGGAGGATACTGTAAAACAGCCAACACATGATCAGCCATATTTCTACCTCCAACTATAACATCGAGAGGAAGGGAGCGGCTCCCGGGGCCCCCACTCGCCTCTCCCCAGCCCTCCCCAATCGCCGCCAAAAGCCGAGTGGCAAGAGAAGGGGGCACGCTGGGCCGGCAGCCAGTGTCCAAGCCGGGACTGGAGCTCCTCTCTGTCCCCAGCCCTGGGCTGCTCGCGGGCGCCTGCTTCCTCCGGAGTGACAGGCGTGATTTATACATTATTTACAACAGTAATTAAAGCCGTAGCTTCCTCCCGTTCTTCGCAAACTCCGGGCGCATTCAAATAAATAATTCCCCTACCCCCAAGAAAAACCCCAAAACAGGTTCCAACACCTTTAAGAAAGAGGGACAGAGTTTTCCCGAACACTCCACTTTAGGAAAAAACAAGGAGGGGGCAATGGAGCCCCTCACACCACCACCCCTCCCTCCTCCGCCCCCCCCCCAACACACACATACACACACTCCAAAATGAAGAGTAAAAATCTCCCTGGGAGGGGGCAACATCGCTTGCACTATCCAACCAGCATTCAACTTGCACTGACCATTCCCAGGTTCTTGCAGAAACGCTTGGAACCCGAGAGAAGGGAAGGATTCTCAGGGCAGAAATAAGTTTGGGTGCCTTTCGAGCTTTCTTTTTCTGCTTGTTTGCTTTTGTAGGCACTCACTCCGAATGCGCGTGTAGCGCCCCAAAGGACCGCCGCCCTCCGAGCGCTGGCGCGCACACGCCCCCCCCCCCCCAGCCCCGGCGTGGGGCTTCGAACCCCCGGTCTGCAAACTTGCGCAGCTCCCCTCGCTGAGCCCGCCAGACAACTTGGCGAGCACCTCGCGCGCCCGCTCCCGCTCCCTCCAGCCCTTCTTCCAAATCCCAAGCCCACTGCTGTGCTCCGGAGGTGCCTGTGTTGCTCCCAAATCTAAAAGAGCCCCCTTTTCACCCCCCCGGGACTTCCCTGGTCGCTAACTCTTCCCATCCCCTTTAGCTCTGTGGGGGGTCGAAAACACAAACCTTCTAGGGCAGCCGGGGACGAACTGTCAAGAGGAGAAAAGGTAAAGGGGGAGGAAGGTGGCCATAAACAGATTTTTATTTTTTCCTTCTTAAAAGGACACTGCCGCTTTAAAAGTTTCTTCCCGGGCCCCCACTTTCCGGTTCTCCGTATTTTGGGGGAGCGTATTTAATTTGGGCAACGCGGCTTTCCTCCTCTCTTTGCAGAAAAATCAAAGCCAGGGGGTGAGCCCGCCGGCTGTCAAGCCTCCTGCCGCCTCCCCCGCCCCCCCTCTCCTCCTGCAACCCGAGAACGGGCTGCAAAAGTTTGCAACATTTCTGGGGGGCCGAGGGGGGAGGGGAGGCGATTGCTCCAGGCTCGGGGAGCCGCCGCAGGCTCGCGCGCGGCCCGGGACCCCGCGCCCCGGGCGCCTGCTCCCGGCCGCCCCCCGCTCCGCGCCCCGGCTCCCCGCTGCCCCCTCCTCAGCCCCTCTCGCAGCCTCCTACCTCTGCTGGTGCTGGAATAGCTCTGTCTGCGCACCGGGGCGGGCGGCTCGCTCTTGCGGGCGGATTCCTGGTTCAACGGGGTCTCCCTGGAGCCGGCGGCCGCATCCGCGCCGCTGCTGCCCGGCTCGCTGGCGGCGGGGTCGGGGGCTGCCGGAGCTGACTCCATGTTTTTTCCCAATGTAGAGATCGCTGGAGATGGCGAGCTCCGAGACTCCCTCTATCTTCTGTTTTCAGAGCAACTCTATGGTACAAAAAAAAAAAAAAAAAAAAAAAAAAAAAAAAAAAAAAGGAGAAGGAGACCAGGGAGAGCAGGAGGGATAGAGCAGGCGGTGGCGGGCGGGTGAGCGAGAGCGCTAGGGAGCGCGCGGAGTGTGTCTGGGTGGACGTGTGTGTGCGCCCGAGAGGGGATGGGAGGCGGGTCTGGCCACAGGCAGCGCTAGCGAGAGCTGCTCCAGCCGGCCCCCACACCCAGATTCCCCACCCTCCAGACCCCAGACCGAGCGCCAAGGACTGGCTGCCAATTTTGGGAGGTGGGGAAAAGAGGGGAGGAGGTGGGGAGAACCTCCAGAGCCCCAGTCCTCCCCTCTCCCCAGCCCAGGGACAGAAATTAAGATCGGCGAGATGATTCTGTGCCTACTTCTGAGACTGTCTGGGGAACAGAGCTCGTCCCCATCCGCAATCAGCCTGGGAAGAAACAAATCCTATAATCCACGTTGAGCAACTGCAGGTGGCCAGCTCCCTGCCAGCCCAACCCAGCCCAGGACTGAGGAGAAACTAAAAAGGAATAGACTTGGACTTGACACCCCAAGGAAGGCGGAGGATGGAAGGACCCGGCACTTCTGACTTTGGGATGGGATGTCCAGTGGGTTTCCAATCTTGGTTTGATACATCTGTGTGTCTACAAGCAGATTTTTGTAAGTCTAGAATCTACATGGATAGCCAGTTTCTGGTGTGGTTGAAAGAGGTCGCTTTTAGCTCCTTTGCTGTTTCCTCCGTGAAGAATCCAGAAACCACTTGGCAGAGCAATTTCTACTGAAGAAAACTTTGGCCTGTTTGGCTGATGACTATCTAAGCTGGATGCATCTAGTTCATGCATGGCTGCTAATTGTCAATCCCCACTGTTACTTTTGCTATTAAATGTACAGTCTCATCCATAAAGTACATACTAGAGAGGCGTTAATAATGTCTGGATGATAAAATTCAGATAATTAACAGCTCCTAATAAGTCACATCATTGTAGGCATCATTCTACAACCCCCTTCCACTGAAACATACCCACCACACAGTAGGTGCTTAATGAAACCCAAGGAAAGTGGAGAATTGCATCAGCGTTATCTTGACCCCAAACTCCAATATGAAGGAACAATACAAATGAGATAAGTGGAAAACATCCAGGTGACAGTAGCCTGATTTCTCTGCTTCAATTCTCAATCCACCATTTTCTTTCGCCTGTGGAGACACGGATGAAATCTATACATTTTTTAACACACACACCCGCTTTTCTTTTAGGAGGCTCGCTCACAAATTTTGACAATAAAAATATTATTATATACCAGAAGGTGGCATAAATATGTGTATTTAGGGGTGAAGTGGGGAAGGCAATTGGGGAACATTTTGCTTTCATTAACTTCCTAGTTGGGAAAAATGCTTTATAAAAATAAGGGAGAAAAAAATCCTAATTAGATAATAGCTTAAGAGGAACCTCTCTACATGCCAAACTTCACACATGGTTTGTGTTACCATTACTGATCTTAGTCTGATTTCAAATACACAATGCTATTTGTCATGGGTCTGTGTGTTAATCAGCAAAACCTGTAGTCCACTCTTGGGAGTGATATAAATGAGATGTGAACAATTCTGATACCTTAATCCAGTCTCTGCAAGAATCTGTGGCTTTAGCCTGTCAGTGCCTACGAATAATGACATGATTGTCTCCTCCATCCCAAATCAGATGTGTGTGTTTCCTCATACATCAAAGTGGCCTTTACACCATTTATAGTTGGTTTGTCTGTTAATGTTCTTGATACAGTTGACCTAGCCTGTCACACTGGCCTTTTCTACGTAAACAAATATATCAAAGTGCACAGTTTAATAAATAAGTTCCTGTGGGGCAGTATCTCAAAATACATCTACTGCCCTATATTTACTTTAGAATATTTTTAAAAATAGTTTTCATATTAAATTTCACCAATAATTCTATTTGAGATGCAAGTGGCTTAGAAAAATATCCCTGACTCCTTTTTAGGTACCAGTTGCAACTTAACATTGTTTTGCTTAAGTCTATTCCCCTGGGCCTTCAATGGGTTCAGAGCCTGGTATTTTTGTTCACCCTGGAAAGACCATCTTGAAAGTGGTCCCAGCGACCTCAGTCAATTAAGACAGAATTCATACTCCCTTCTGCGGTAAATTTCAGGTCCAAAAAGCCATTTCTCCTAACTCTCTCAAACAATTACTGCTTCTACAATTTAAAACAATTGGGAACTCGAGTGCTTTCCCCAAGAGAAAAATAAAAGTGAGTTAGACACATTCCTTGACTGTCAATCATTGTTACTAAAGTGTAAATTACCTGGATTGGGAAAGTATTTGAAACCTGAAAAACCCAGTGATTAGGTTTGTTTCTTTTCTTTCCTCGTGTCCCTACGCTGATTACTAATTAAGGCTTTCCAATTTTCCAAATATTTGGAAAGATGGGAGCCTTCCTTAGACTCTGCTCATGGCTTAAAAATGGTTGTTTTACTTTGTACTACTGAGTTCTCTGAAAGACAATGACTTAGAAAGCCTATGCTTTGTAGAAGAGATAAGCCTAAATCCATTTTTGGTGACCCCTCTCTCCCTCCTCAAATTCGCCAGGGCTTCCCCTACCTCCATGCAGACCCCAGCCTCCCCTCTTGATGGTAATATTACTTTTCTCTTACTCCAAAGTAATTACTAGGCACCTCAGAGTTCGCTGTGGCTTGTCTCACTCCTGCCCCTTGCTCGCCACATCCCAACATAATTGTCAGGTGCTTTAAATTCTACCTCTGTGACTGCTGCCCCTCTTTTCTGTGGCTACCACGCCAGTTCCAGACATCATTGCTTGCCTAAAACATTACAGTAACCTTCTAAATAACTGGCCTTTAGTCTGATCCATTCTAATCCATCCCAGATAGTGCTGCCAAGTTAATTACCCTGAACTACAGCTCTCATTTCCCGCCATGTCACTCCCCTGCTTACAAGACTTTAATGGCTCCCCATCGCCTATCCAATTAACTACTAACTAGTCAACACGGTATTCGAGGCCCTACCTTACTTATCACTGCCTGCACCAGGGATGGCAAATCAATCTCATCTCATGAAGGAAATCCTGAGGTTGGTTGGAAAGGTGTGGACTGTGACTGATTAATGCTGTCGCCCATGGAGGACTGGGAGTGTGACACGCATGCCAAGAGTTTACAAACTGGCCCCCATCCTTACATAATCCCTGCAATCCATGCCGCGTGCTAATTCCTGCTCCCTCTCCTCCTTGTAGTCCAGGAGACAGGGGACTGATGCCTATGCTTCTTTCCCTAAAACGCCCTCCCTGTCTTCTCTGTTTATTGAAACCCTACCTTTCTTTCAAGGTCCATTCTAAAAGGCAACTTCTCTGTGGGACCTTCCCTGATTTACCCCAAAGCAAATATTTGAACTCTTAGTACTCTGCACCCCTCCTAAGGCACTTGGTATAATCTACCCTGTGCTATGGTTGGCTGGACATCAGCCTTACCCTCCCTGGTGGAAAGATGAATTCCTTGAAAATGGGGGCTCTGGCCTTGCACACAGTAGGCACTCATTAGATTTAGAGGATTTGGGGAATGGAACTGATGAACTAATCATAAGGTAGCATGTCCACACAGCGATTCCATTACACAACAAGAATGAAAACCTAAGCATTTTAACTTTCAATCACTTGAAATAAGCCTTTCCTTCCTGGAGAAAAGATTAGTTGACATGTATGGGCTGTTAAAATTTATATATGCAAAAAAAAAAAGTTGACAGTTATTTTCTTTGCATTTCTTGGAGCGCGAGAGAGAAAATTATGGAAATACATAGAATTTCCTTGGGAGAGGGAAACTTTCTACAACATGCCTAAGAACAAAGAAGGCAGAAAATTAAAAGCTAGTGCCCAGCCAACAAGTTTCCTTTCTTTTAAAAAAGCATCAAGAAACTGAAGCTGGTCTATATACTGAAAATAGAAGAAATGCAGATAAAAACGCAGCACCACTCTTGGGCAATGGGCAGGGGCTCCTCCCTGCTGCATTGTTAGTAGTCAGGGCAGCCCCGACCAGGAAAGTCCAGGCTAAGAAGAGCCCTCTGTTCAAATCAGAGCAGGAATAGTGTAACCTGAGGTCCACATGGGTAGGAGCAGGAGAGCCAGGCTTGCCAGACACAGGAAGTAAAGAGGAAGATGAAAGCACACAGCATCCACTCCCCCTTCCTCCTTCCCATTTTGTAGATGAAGAAATTGAGATGCAGAGAACTGACATCATCAAGACCGCCCAATTAATCCGGGGCACGAAGTAGTAGCCTCAGGTTACCTGAATTCAAGACCCAACTCACTAGCAGTGTGGTTGAGGGTCAGTCGCTAACCGTTTCTGTGTCTATAGTTCCTCATCTATGGATGAGGGTTGTTATGAGGATGAGATGAGATAATCTTTCTAAAATGCTGGCCACTCAAAAGATCGCTATTATTGTTGTGGGTCTTACAGGCTTTAATAAAATACTGTATAAAATTACACTGTCCAAATACAGTAGCCACTAACTCTATGTGGCTATGGAGTACTTGAAATGTGGCTAATCCAAACTGAAATATGTGATAAATGTTAAATTCCACATAGGAGTTCAAAGACGGCACCAAAAAAATGTCAAGTGTCTCATTAATAGTTTTATGGATTGCATGTTGAAATGACAAGAGTTTGGAAATATTGGGTTAAAATACAATACATGATTAAAATTAATTTCACCTCTTTTAACTTTAAAATCTGGCTACTAGAACAGATAAAATTATTATTTGCTTTACAATATACATCTATACATTATACAAGGCTGGTATGAAACATCTCTGGCACATAGTAGGTACTATAAGGATCTAATTAGAGTAATAGCTATGGTGCAGCTGGGGGCACCACGGGGTCAAGAGTGAACCCCCGTCTTGTCACCTTAAAAGATCGTAATTGTGTGCCTATTTATAGGGTATTGAGCTGTGTGCTAAGGAAAATAGAGACAAAGCCATTGTGTCTTATAGAGAAGGC